TAGTTGCCTCATTCAACATGAGCAACGACCGATCCGGGTTCGAAGGTCAGGCCACGAAGGGCTTGAGGCCGCCTCGCATCAAACAGAGCTAGGGGAGATAACATAGATGAGCCCTAGCGGCCCTCGTCCGGTATGCTTAGAAGCAAACAGGGACATCTCAACCTTCTCGTTCGATCCTAACCTAGAGCCATGCCCACAGAATCTCCATCGAGTAGAGGCGAGCGGGCCACCTGAGTCGGTCTCCGGAATGACCCGGGCATCTATCGGAAGGTGGGCTACGGAGCAGTGGAATTCCATATGAGGGCTATGCCGACCCTATCACGAACGACGGACCCGGATTCTGCTCGAACGCACCCGTTAGTGAGCTCACCGAGCGCGACACTCGAGCCATCGAGGCAAGCGATGTTAGCTCAGCCCCTCTGGTTGTGGAAACCGTGGATGGGGTAATGCACGGAACTAGACCAACCCCTACCGAACCAATAGGGCTCGGGGGCTCAGGTCGCTCGACGCCGACTCGGGAAATCAACTGACCGCGCACGTCGCGGGCGGGACAAACACGGGCGAACACCCGAACGATAGAAACTTAGGAGTCTGCAGCCCCAGGAAAGAGTGCCAAGATACTCAGCCTCTAACCGACTCACCAGTCGGATGCAGGCTCGGGGGCTACACCCACCAAGTGCGCTCGCACGCACCCGCTTGCAAGTCGAAAAAACCTCCAGACGATTCTACCCAAATCGCCCGGGGGCTCAGGGGTTACACCCACTGGGTACGCTCGTGCGCATCCACTGACAAAACGAAGAATCCCCCAGACGATTCTACTCGAATCGCCTGGGGGCTCGAGGGCTCCTGTCGGGTTCATAAACCCGGGGTCCCTAATGGGTCCGCTTCCCAGCAAAAGCTTGGCCCAGCAGGCGACATTACAGACGATGCATAACTCCTAGGTCGGCCCATATACCTAATGATAGGCCGTAAGAGTGATCCAGTCTCCGACCGGCTTCTCCAGCCGGAAGGCCTACTCAAGGAGAGGACGACGCTCACTTCCGACTTCGACCCGCTTCTCCGATCGGAAGGTCTAGCCAAGGAAGGGACGATGCTCGCTTCTGACTCCGACCCGCTTCTCTGATCGGATGTACACCAAACCTCTGCTTATAGCTCTTTCTCCGACCAGCGCGGTCGAAGCCGACTGGGAACGACCGAACGGGGACCCCCGCTCAGTGAGGACCCAAGAAATCAGGCAGAGCAGATAAGGTGAGACGTTCAAATTCAACCGTAATACCGAGGACCGTACCTTGCACACCTGCAGGACAGTACTAACAGGCCATGCCAGAAGGGTGCTTTGCGACCTTTCAGACATGCCAGAACACAAACAGTGTTGTAGGCGCCAATATTTGTCCTACAGTATGGTAGGCGCCGACATTTGCCATACCAGAAGAACACGATGGAGCCTACCACATGTATCTGGGCGTCAACAGTATTGTGGGCGCCGACAAACCGTCTTGTACCCGACGGTGTGGGCAACAAGACTAGGAAACACACTCTCTCTCTCACTTGTAAGGCCGTCTCCTTCATCTATAAAAGAGGATGCGCCCTCTCCCAATGGACAGACAACAACACAAGATAGAAAAAATGACAGACGGATCATTCCGACTCACTTTCTGCTAGCTTTAGACTTTCTAAAGCTACACAGAGCATACGTCCCAATACTTAGCGCACGTAGGAGCTCCCGTCACTCTCGGCCCTTCGGTCCAAAGTTCGACCGGACCTCTAACACCCCCCATCTTACTCGCACTCGTTTGTAACCCCACAGCAAACTTCGAGCACCTGGACTCAGGAATAAAGTCACCGACCAACTCAAACTGGACGTAGGGCACGTTGCCTGAACCAGTACAAACCCTGTGTCATTGAGTGCTAGACCACATCCGATTATAACGTATGGCAAAACGATAAATATTTACTTGTTGATCACTTTTCGCACCGACAATTAGTATTCGTCTTATTCATGTTCTTCGTTATAATGTTCATCATATACTTTGATTATATACCTAATATAGTTGGATTATCACCATATTTATGCATATGTTCGTATAGCACTCACCCTAAGGATCCATGGGTGGGTGATCGATATTGTGTAAGCGTGGTGCTTATACGTTGTTTACCTGCGGATACACCCTATATTTCGGGTCATGTGGTAGATCGCGGATGTGACACTCCCGTTGAGTCCTCTGTAGTCCACTCACAGATGTAGGTAGCACGTAGGATTTGGTTACGAAGGGGGATAAGCTCTGTTCTTATCTTCCTTAGTAATATCCCTTATGTGTAGATATGAAGATGATCTTAGCAATGGCTATCAGGTGTAATTGCACTAATCAATGTATACTTTGACATATAATTAAGAATGACTTAGGAATTATTCCTCTAATATTCTATCTGACCATGCTAATGCCATAGAAAAGAGTACTCTGAGTGATTTATCATTACCATTGATCAATACTTATTTTATATATATATATATATATATATGAGTAGAATATTGGTTACTTCTCCATCAATGGTATAAGTTATCAATATTTGTACATGGTAGACCTTCCCTGTGGTAAAAATATAAATAACGATAACTTATCCTTGTTATGAGTAGAATATTGGTTACTTCTCCATCAATGATATAAGTTATCAATATTTGTCCATGCTAGACCTTCCCTATGGTAAAAATATAAATAACGATACCTGAAATACTCCCGGGTAAAGTGCTACAATGGTATATTATCTGTGCGCTTACAGATCTCTCTTTATTCATATCTATATATTCCTCCTAGTCACATAAATTAATAAATAACTATTCAATATTATTGTAGTAGTAATGCTAGATAGTACCAACAAGTATATGTAGCAATATCACTAGGGATGACAACATAGTAAAGTAATGTTAGAAGATATATGTTTATAATAGGTGGCTATTAAAACAAATGACAAGTTAATAAATACCATAAAAGGCGTGGAATACAACTGGACACTAGATGCCCGGTGTGTTTTCGCTTTGATGAAGATGGAGGTCATTGTTTTATGAAGTGCAAAGCTATCCGTCAGTGTTGGAGGCAGCTAGGCCGCAGTGCAGGCTACGGTTGATGCAAACCTGCTCAGCTGAGGAGTTTGTTAGGGAAGTGATGAATTTGAGAACTGATATATCTGCCTCAGTGTCATGACGCTGTTGTGGCTCTGGTGGGATGTGAGAAATAAGGTGAATGCTGGCGAGCTGATGCCATCCTGCCAGGAGACGGTGAGGGCCGTGATCAGTATGGTGCATGATATTCAGGTGTCGGATTCTCAGGCCACAGGTCTGCGGGTCTCACATACCCAACGATGGTCACCACCGCCACAGAATTTCCTGAAGATTAATGTGGATGGTGCTTTCATGGAGTCCAAGGCTGGCGCTTGGGTTTCATAATTAGAGAACATGATGGCACTGCTGTCCTGGTGGGAGCGGGAAACCTTGGCCCCATGCATGATGCCCTGATCGCGGAGACGATGGCGTGCAAACAGGCTCTAGAAGCAGCGGAGCAGTTCGGCATTTCCCAAATTGAGCTTGAGACCGATTCCTCCCAATTGAAGGATGCGCTCACTTCGTCGTCAAGAGATATGTCCATCGGTGGAGGTCTGTTCACGAATCTTCGCAGCTTTCTCCATGATAGTTTTAATTGTATAAGTGTTCTTGATATTCCGAGGTCTTGTAACTCATCTGCGCACGAGCTTGCTAGGTTGGGTATGAGTTGGGACCCGGCTCAAGTTTGCCTCTGGACTGACCCCCTCCCTGAATTTGTAACTCGTTGGATTGCTCGCGATTTGGCTAAGCTTGAGTCTCTTAATACAAGGCTGTAGAGCCTGGGTACGTATCAACAAAAAAAAAAAAACCCTGAGCTCTAGGGAGTGCTATCGTGTACTACAGAATAAACTTTTAGAGCCCGTCAAAATTAATTTCTAGATGAGTTCAAAAAAAAATCTGAATAGATCATTTTTTTAGTACGGAGTTCGTAACCATATTTAGGCAAAGGCTTTTAGGCGAGTAAATAATTGTTCCTATAGAAATCGTTTTTCAGTGGTCAGTATTACATAGCCATTTGATTTTTCATGCCAACTATGTGCGTTCTCCAGGATTTGAAACCGTGACCTAAGTTGTTTAAAAAAAAAACCGTGACCTAAGCGTCGCTACAGTGTTGTTGGCAATAGAAGAACCTTTCCTTAATACTTCTGGTTTGGGAACAATTTCTAGGAAACACCACCTTTACCTCCTTGAAAAGAATTTCAAGAGCTGTTTATAATATATCAAATCATCTCTAAAATTAGACTCTATTTATAAAGATGGTTTATCATGTGACCTGCTCTTAAAAATAGACATTTTTTATAGACAGAGTCATTTCCTCAGTGTAGCGGTCGGTGTTACCTAAAAATTGTTTATGGCAAACTTCTCCCTCCATTCCAAAATATAAGGTGTCATTTGACTTTATTCAATCTCTAAAATCATATTTTCATGACTATTTCCACTTATAATATGTTGTTTGTGACAACAAAAAGATAATCAATAGAGAATATTTCTAAATATCAATCTAAAGCAACTACTTTTATAGCATAAACTTTTCGTATGATTAGAGTAATTGTTGGTAAAAAATTACAATGTTGCCTTGTATTTTGAAAAGACGGAGGGAGCAATAAGCCGCAAATGTCTATATCAACGAGTTGCCGATAAAAATCCTAGCAGGAATGTGCCATACTCGACAAACGGCACCTGTAAAAAAGTAAGCTGGTTTCGGTCGCCGGAGATGTGCAAATAATAAACTGGCGTTTTCGCGCTGTCGCTGGCAGCTTTGGAGTGTGGTGACCGGCGAACGAAGACATTTCCTCGTCCAGGCGTTCTGAATACTACTCGTCAGTCGTCACCGCGGTTTCTAGTACATTGCTCGAATGCCGCCGCGGCCTCGGCTTGCGTCGAACAGTCGCGCGCGGGCGAGATGGGTGACGCCGGCTTCGCTCTCCTCGTCGCGTTAACGGCCGCCCTGGCCGCGCTGTTCCTCGTCCTGCTCGGCGCCGTCATCCTCCGGCACTGCTGCTGGCGGCGCCGCGACGACGTGTCGCCCACGCGCCGCGGCTTCGTCCTTTTCGACGTCTGCTTCGCCGAAGACAGGCAGCGGGGCGCCGTGAGGCCGCCGCCGTCGTCCATGGAGAGGAGCCGGGGGCGGCGGTCCACGGGGGCGGGGGAGGGCCGGGACCACGCGCCCGGTGGCGTCGAGGCCGCGGCGGCGGACGAGCAGATGGAGCCCGACGAGTTCGAGATCGCGCGGTGGAAGAAGATCTTCTGGGGCCCCAATAGGTCCCTGTCCACGATAGACGAGGGCACGGAGAAGGGCGGCACGACGCCGATCACGACGCCCTCCTTCTGCACGCCCTCCGGGTCGCCTGACCGACGGGACGCCCGCGCCCTGGACATGGAGACCGTCGCGGTGCAACTTCGTCAGGCGTAACACTAGGTGCTTCCTCTCTGTGTGTGTCTGTGTTACTGTTGGTTACGAGTATGGACGAAAATGGTACGGATATTTATTTGACCGTCCGTTCAACCGAACGAATATGAACACTTATCTGGATAGTTACTCGGATATCTGTAATTTTTTTCGGATATGGATAATAAAACGGATATCTTAGGCGGATATCAAATACGGATGTAATATCATCGCTATCCGGCGGATATCGGATAATCCGGTTAAGTATCGGATATATCCGGATATTTTCAAACGGATATTATCCGGATATTATTCAAACGAACTTGGATGGAGAAATGATCAAAATAAAAATTGTAGATCTCAAAAAGTTATGAAACTTTGTTGTTTACAACTTTTTCGTTTGAAATCATTTAGTGCTTCAAAATTTAAACCGTCCAAACTTTCTCAAATGGAAAACTAGTTTATAGGCGTCAAAATTTAAAAATCACAAATTTGAACCATCCAAACTATCTCAAATTGAAAGTTGACCAAAACAACAATTGTAGATCTTGATGAGTTGAACAAACTTGGTATTCAAAACTTTTCAATTTGAAGTCATTTAGAGTTCATAATACTAGAGTCAAAGTGTTGTTTTTTCATTTGACCAAATTTGACTTGGTCAAACTTGCTCAAATGAGACACTAAATGACCTCAGATGAAAAAACTCTGAATACCAAGTTTGATCATCTCAGCAAGATCTACAATTTTTACATAGCTCATTTTTCCATTTGAGAAAGTTTTATCAAACACTAGTCACAAATTCTTCAATCTCATATAGACTTTCTGAAACTATGTCACACATTTGTGAAATTTGAACTATATTTTGTTCAAACTTTCTCAAATGAAAAAATGGCCTATATAAGGATTGTAGATCTTTATGATATAAACAAATTTGGTATTCAAAACTTTTCAATTTGAGACAATCTAGGGTTCTGAAAACTAGTTTGTAAACGTCGAAATTTAAAAATCACAAATTTGAACCGTCCAAACTATCTCAAATGGAAAGTTGACCAAAACAATAATTATAGATCTTGATGAGTTGAACAAACTTGGTATTCAAAACTTTTCAATTTGAAGTCATTTAGAGTTCATAATACTAGAGTAAAAGTGTTTTTTCATTTGACCAAATTTGACTTGGTCAAACTTGCTCAAATGAGACATTAAATGACCTCAGATGAAAAAACTATGAATACCAAGTTTGATCATCTCAGCAAGATATACAATTATTACATAGCTCATTTTCCCATTTGAGAAAGTTTTATCAAACACTAGTCACAAATTCTTGAATCTCATATAGACTTTCTGAAACTATGTCACACACTTGTGAAATTTGAACTACATTTTATTCAAACTTTCTCAAATGAAAAAATAGCCTATATAAGGATTGTAAATCTTGATGAGCTGAACAAACTTGGTAATCAAAACTTTTCAATTTGAGACAATCTAGGGTTCCGAAAACTAGTTTGTAAGCATCAAAATTTAAAAATCACAAATTTGAACCGTCCAAACTATCTCAAATGGAAAGTTGATCAAAACACGAATTGTAGATCTTGATGAGTTGAACAAACTTGATATTCAAAACTTTTCAATTTGAAGTCATTTAGAGTTCATAATACTAGAGTCAAAGTGTTGTTTTTTTCATTTGACCAAATTTGACTTGGTCAAACTTGCTCAAATGAGACACTAAATGACCTCAGATGAAAAAACTCTGAATACCAAGTTTGATCATCTCAGCAAGATCTACAATTGTTACATAGCTCATTTTCCCATTTGAGAAAGTTTTATCAAACACTAGTGACAAATTCTTGAATCTCATATAGACTTTCTGAAACTATGTCACACACTTGTGAAATTTGAACTATATTTTGTTCAAACTTTCTCAAATGAAAAAATGGCCTATATAAGGATTGTAGATCTTTATGATATAAACAAATTTGGTATTCAAAACGTTTCAATTTAAGACAATTTAGGGTTCTGAAAACTAGTTTGTAAACGTCGAAATTTAAAAATCACAAATTTGAACCGTCCAAACTATCTCAAATGGAAAGTTGACCAAAACAACAATTATAGATATTGATGAGTTGAACAAATTTGGTATTCAAAACGTTTCAATTTGAAGTCATTTAGAGTTCATAATACTAGAGTGAAAGTGTTGTTTTTTCATTTGACCAAATTTGACTTGGTCAAACTTGCTCAAATGAGACATTAAATGACCTCAGATGAAAAAACTATGAATACCAAGTTTGATCATCTCAGCAAGATATACAATTGTTACATAGCTCATTTTCCCATTTGAGAAAGTTTTATCAAACACTAGTCACAAATTCAAGAATCTCATAGACTTTCTGAAAATATGTCACACACTTATGAAATTGGAACTACATTTTTTTCAAACTTTCTCAAATGAAAAAATAGCCTATATAAGGATTGTAGATCTTGATGAGCTGAACAAACTTGGTATTCAAAACTTTTCAATTTGAGACAATCTAGGGTTCCGAAAACTAGTTTGTAAGCATCGAAATTTAAAAATCACAAATTTGAACCGTCCAAACTATCTCAAATGGAAAGTTGATCAAAACAAGAATTGTAGATCTTGATGAGTTGAACAAACTTGGTATTCAAAACTTTTCAATTTGAAGTCATTTAGAGTTCATAATACTAGAGTCAAAGTGTTGTTTTTTCATTTGACCAAATTTGACTTGGTCAAACTTGCTCAAATGAGACACTAAATGACCTCAGATGAAAAAACTATGAATACCAAGTTTGATCATCTCAGCAAGATCTACAATTGTTACATAGCTCATTTTCCCATTTGAGAAAGTTTTATCAAACACTAGTCACAAATTCTTGAATCTCATATAGACTTTCTGAAACTATGTCACACACTTATGAAATTTGAACTACATTTTGTTCAAACTTTCTCAAATGAAAAAAATGTCCTATATAAGGATTGTAGATCTTGAATCCATGACCATGACTCCATGAGACCCATGAAGCCATGAGCTTGGCTATTTCTACTCATGCCGCGAAGATTGGTGCTTGTATGATGTTTGTTGTATGATGTATCTGTATTTTTATCTTATTTGTTGCTTTACTCTTTAGTTTTTCGGCTTAATCTAGATGGATTATGGACTCATAGAGTGGTGTAATGGTTTGCATTACGATATATATATATATATATATATATATATATATATATATATATATATATATATATATATATATATGCTGCTTTTACTCAATATCCGAATAGATATTTGTATCCGACCTTCTCCGAATCCGATTCATACCGTATTCGATACTCATTATTCGTATCCATAACCGAGTCAATCCGTATTCGTATATGTATCCGAACGCTATCCGTGTCCGAATCCGAATCCGAACAGAAATATGAAAACAAATATAATATGAGTGATATCCGTTCGTATCCGATCCGTTTTCATCCATAGTTACGAGTATGCGACACAAGAGCAGTAGTGACGTACAGCTAGTTGAAATCATATGCCGCAAAACAAGATCATCATTCTTGTACAAGATCATGTACGTAGCTAGTAGTAGTAAACTATTTTTGCAGGTGAATGGAACTTTCTAACCGAGCCGTTTAGTACTGTTTGACAGTGAGTAGCAAATAAATTACTCCAAGTAAACGTCGTGCCTGTATACTGACCTAGCCCGCTGAAGTATCCAGTCATCTCGGTCCCTTCGGGATGAAGGAAGGAAGTGAGGCGTGCTGCGTGCAACCACCATTTCCCCCCACCTCAAGATCGACCGCTAGCTAGCGATCGGTGCCACGGTGGTCCGTGCTCTGCATTCAGGAATCACAGGAAGCAGTTACTGCAACGTCCTGTCGTCCCCCCTCTTACGCTAGTCGTAAACATGTGGGCCTCTCCCTCTGGCGTGGTCATCGACGGACACGGACCCCCCCTCCCCTCAGGACCTCAGGCCTCAGCGGCGACCGTCACCTGGTTCGTGCTCAGCAACCCAACTTTGAACGCGGACTCGGGGATCGACCGACAGCGACACCCTCGCATGCAGGTCTGCCCCGTCGTCCCTCGCAGCTAGATGGCTGCCATGCTGCGGCAGCAGTGCCGTTAGGCCGGTCTCGGTGGGAGGTTTGACCTCCCAATTTTCAAAACATGACAGGGGGTGTCTCAGTGCACAGTTTCATACACTAGGGTCTTGTTTAGATTCTAATTTTTTTCTCTCTCTATCACATCAAATCTTTGACACATGCATGGAGTATTAAATGTAGATAAAAAAATAACTAATTATACAGTTTGATTGTAAATTACGAGACGAATCTTTTGAGCCTAGTTAGACCATGATTGCACAATAATTGTCAAATACAAACGAAAATGCTACAGTGCCGAATACTGATTCATAACCGCGAACTAAACAAGGCCTAGCTTTAGCATTTCGTATAATGTGTTGTGATCAAATGTGGTTTGTGAACTATGTAGCTTTTGGACAATGCTACGGTACAATCTTTACCTACGAGGAAGTAAGGGGCTCGTTCGCTTGTCTTAAATTTGGTTTGTACGGCTTATTTTTTTTTAGCCGAAACAGTGTTTTTCTCTCACAACAATTCAGCTGGAACAGTGTTTTTCAGCCAGTTTCAGCCAAAGTTCAGACCAGCGAACGGGGCCAAGATCTCAAATCAATCCGAACCATTGATTTTTCACATTTATGAATTACTTAATAAATTAAAAAATCCAGTAAAATAAGCTAGAAAAAGAGAAGAAGATTCTCCGGATCTCGGGATAACATGGAAGTGGGTTGGCCTTCCTTTGTATACATGCATGATGATTAAAAAAAATATGTTACGTACATGAGAAAGATTAGCAACCAACGAAAGTTCAAAATAAACACGGATATGAAATTAAAAAAAAAAGTCGTCACCTAAGTCTAACACGCTAGCTAATAAAACAGGTAACACAGGAGGTATACGTACATGCATGAAAAAATCGATCAATTACGTTTAAAGT